ACTAGACAGGGAGAAACTCTTTCCCCTGAACATCCCTAAACCCTAAACCCTACTAAACCCTGAACCCTGAATATCCCTAGATACTTACGTAATGGGGTACTAAGTTACATATTGCTATTGTTATGTATATTTATTTTTATGATCAGTAGTATTATATGATAAATATTGTTTTGATGAATAGTATATGGTCAGTAACCTACTATTTCGGTAACTGGGGTCCTAGGCTTTTCGAGGTAGTAAGGTGATTAGGAAATTGCAGGAACCTTTTAGGGTTTAGGGTTTAGGTATCTGGAGCCCTCAGGGAAGCCAAAGTCCTTGTTTTGCGTAGGCTTAAGAGAGGTTGAGGGCTTAGGGATGTTCAGGATTCAGGGTTTAGTAGAGAACCCTCCTCCTGAATCCGCAGAGTCTTGGACAAGGTCCTTCCTTCATAAGCCTCCCGCGCAACGCCCGAAGCCCTCAAAGCCTTCAACCCCTGAAACTCTCATAACATTCACAAAAAATCCGGATAACACGGTTCCTAGAACCCTTCCTTTCATCAAGCTAAACCCAATTACACCCTAAATCCGAAACCCTAAACAATGCAGGTCCTCTCTGCAGAGGGTTTCGGTGGCTCTGGTGGAAGTCGCGCCACGTGGCCGGGCTTCTTTGTCATAGTTGGGTAACATTTTACAGTTTTATTGGTACATATATAAACCAAGGAATAACAGTTTAGATTTTTCATTGTATTCTAGACCCAATAAGGAAACGTGTAAAAAAAAACAGCCCCGATCCAGGCTTGCTGAAGCGCCAGCTGCTCCGCTGCGAGCCCAGAGGGATATTGAAGGTTTCAGTCGGTTCGGGGCCTGATGGGTTTATTCGGGGCCTGATGGGTTTAGCGGGTTAGGGATTAGGTCGCACACCGGGGGCACCGTGCACGCCGATGCCGGCGACGCCAATGCACGATCAGCGCGGTCGCTTTGTGTCCGCGGGTCGCTTCTCGACGTCGTGCCGGCAGAGGTGCGGGACATGCCAAGCTTGCAGCCAGGCACTGTCCAGCGCACAGAAGCGGCAACCGTGCATTCAACAATAGGATCCTTGCTTCAGGGGCTTAGCCAAAATCTCGAGACATTAGCCCTCAGACGCGAATTCGCCAACCCGAAAGCCTTAAGCCCTCGAGCCTGCATAACCCGGGTGACCGTTAACTTTTTTTGGAGTTTATATCATACTACCATGAGTGAAGAGGCTAACCTGTTTTCGGGCTAGGGTATTCGCTGAGTAGGTATCCTGTAACCTTAGGTCGGAGTTTATGTGATCCTGCAATAAATGAAGAGACTAACCTTTTTGGGTTGGGGTATTCAGCCCCTACGGAAAAGGAAGCTGCCTTAAACTTCTGGGGAACGTACATCCCTTCAGCCCGTCAGTTTCAAGCCGCAAACCCACAGGTTAGTGTCAAGATACTAACGGATGTTTCTCAACTGGGAACACTCCAGAACTTTGAGAAACCTAATTCCTAAATCCTAACCCAACGATCGGTTCATCCCCTCCCGAGCTGCGCCTCAAATCCTTTCTGCAGCACTCGAAGACTTTCTTAAAATCGAAAAACAAAACGAGCCGCGACCACGCAGCACGTACAAACCTCAGTGGTTTTGGATTCTTGAGAGCAAACTTTGAAGGAGCCCTTAAACGAACCCTACCCTGTCAGGAACCCTCGTAAAAGCCGCCCCGAGGTGCAAAGGAGGAGCCAGAAGTGACAGCAGCGGATGCCGGGATCTCAACGGAAAGTTCGGTCAAGTCCAACCTTTACCTGGACCCTTAGGAACCTGCCTTTTTAGGGTTCCCTAATATGATTTCTGTATATAAGTCCTTAAAAAGGTAGGTTACTTGGGGTTAAGGTAAAGGAACCCCGAACCCTTACCCGCAAAGGAACCCTTAAAGGGAGCTCCAGAAAGTTGGAATATGGTTTCAGGGTAGGATACCTTATAATTTACCAGAAAGGGCTTAGGATAATCATATTCCAACTTTCTGGCTTTTTCTTTAGAAGGGTTCCATTAAGGAGCCATTAAAAAGAAGCCTTTCGAGATTCCTGTCAACGCGTCCTGATCTATAATAGGGTTCAATATTCTATATGGGTAGTTGTCAAAATTAGGGTCCCTTTCTGGGTCTTTATTATAGTACGGCACCTAATATTTAGGGTGCCCAAAAAGGGGCCACAATTTTGACAACTACCCATGTGCTCATACAGTACCTTAAACGGTTTAGGGTTTAGGGGTACTCCTCGATTACGTAGGTACTGTAGGGCCACAGCAGGCAGTCATCAAGTCCGGTTTCAAAAGGGCCACAGCAGGTACTGTATGCGTACATAGACGTTGAGGGTAAGCACGACAAACCGGGCGAACAGCCTCAAACCCTAAGTGTCCTCAGCCAAAACAATGCAAAGCTGCTTGGCATCTGAGTTTGTTTTGATAGCTTCACACAGTGCTAAACCACAGACATACAAAGATAGATGCATGTATGTACATCA